GTTAAAGAAAAGCCCCTTTTATAAAAAGGGAAAGGGGGACAAAAGAGCCCTGTAAAAATTATAGAGGAATAACTTACTGAGTATACCAGGAAAAGTGTGCGGTAGGGTTATAATTGAAAGAATTAGAGGCAAGACAGAATGTAGGATTGCGGATGAGCAAGGAGGTTTCAGAGTGGGTAGGGGATGTGTAGATCAAGTGTTTACATTGAAGCATATATGTGAACAGTATTTAGATAAAGGTATGGAAGTTTTTATTGCATTTATGGTAAATTTTAGAAAAGGCGTATGATAGAGTGGATAGAGGAGCAATGTGGCAGATGTTGCAAGTATATGGAATAGGTGGTAAGTTATTAAATGCTGTAAAAAGTTTTTATGAGGATAGTGAGGCTCAGGTTAGGGTGTGTAGAAGAGAGGGAGACTACTTCCCAGCAAAAGTAGATCTTAGACAGGGATGTGTAATGTCACCATGGTTGTTTAATATATTTATAGATGGGGTTGTAAAGGAAGTAAATGCTAGGGTGTTCGGGAGAGGGGTGGGATTAAATTTTAGGGAATCAAATTCAAAATGGGAATTGACAGTTACTTTTTGCTGATGATACTGTGCTTATGGGAGATTCTAAAGAAAAATTGCAAAGGTTAATGGATGAGTTTGGGAATGTGTGTAAAGGTAGAAAGTTGAAAGTGAACATAGAAAAGAGTAAGGTGATGAGGGTATCAAATGATTTAGATAAAGAAAAATTGGATCCAAATTGGGGAGGAGGAGTATGGAAGAAGTGAATGTTTTCAGATACTTGGGAGTTGACATGTCGGCGGATGGATTTATGAAGGATGAGGTTAATCATAGAATTGATGAGGGAAAAAAGGCGAGTGGTGCGTTGAGGTATATGTGGAGTCAAAAAACGTTATCTATGGAGGCAAAGAAGGGAATGTATGAAAGTATAGTAGTACCAACACTCTTATATGGTGTGAAGCTTGGGTGGTAAATGCAGCAGCGAGGAGAACGGTTGAGGCAGTGGAGATGTCCTGTCTAAGGGCAATGTGTGGTGTAAATATTATGCAGAAAATTCGGAGTGTGGAAATTAGGAAAAAGGTGTGGAGTTAAAAAGAGTATTAGTCAGAGGGCAGAAGAGGGGTTGTTGAGGTGGTTTGGTCATTTAGAGAGAATGGATCAAATAGAATGACATGGAAAGCATATAAATCTATAGGGGGAAAGGGAAGGCGGGGTAGGGGTCGTCCTCAAAAGGGTTGGAGAGAGGGGGTAAAGAAGGTTTCGTGGGCAAGGGGCTTGGACTTCCAGCAAGCGTGTGTGAGCATGTTTTGATAGGAGTGAATGGAGACGAATGTACTTGGGACCTGACGATCTGTTGGAGTGTGAGCAGGGTAATATTTAGTGAAGGAATTCAGGGAAACCGGTTATTTTCATATAGTCGGACTTGAGTCCTGGAAATGGGAAGTACAATGCCTGCACTTTAAAGGAGGGGTTTGGGATATTGGCAGTTTGGAGGGATATGTTGTGTATCTTTATATGTGTATGCTTCTAAACTGTTGTATTCTGAGCACCTCTGCAAAAACAGTGATAATGTGTGAGTGTGGTGAAAGTGTTGAATGATTATGAAAGTATTTTCTTTTTGGGGATTTTCTTTCTTTTTTGGGTCACCCTGCCTCGGTGGGAGACGGCCGACTTGTTGAAAAAAAAAAAAAAAATTAGTACATACGTATTATTGTAATAATAATTATTATTAATATTATTATTAATTTAGGGCACTGGAGCACAGATCCACTGTATAGCAGTTTGTCTGGATTTTTTGGGTTATCCTAGGTAATTTATAATATGTATGATAACTTGACTTACGTGTACCAGTGAGAGAGAAAGAGAGATACAGAGATACAAAGAGCCACATTCGGTCAGCCAGTAAGCCAACTACCCACCCACCCACCCATCCAGCCACCCACCTGCCCAGCCACCCACCCATCCACCCACCCGGCCAACCACAGACCCGGCCACCCAGCCAGCCAGCCAGATACGTATTACACATGTTCCAGAGTTGTTTCTCTTTACTTAGGGTATAGGTTATACAACATTCCGGCAGGATGACACTACCAGTGGTATTCTCCTATTCCAATGTGTCGACAATACATAAAGATAATAGTAACATATGATACTGCATGCGATGTAAAATTTACATTACATATCACTACCATGTATACATTATATACAGTACATAAATAATTAAATTACAACAATAGAAGTAAATTATGGTAAAAAGAATGAAATAATGATTGTACATACATTACAGTATTATGTAGGTAGTTTATATAGGAAAGTTTTGACATTATGCCCTACCCAATATGTCGGCAATTTTCAAAGGTTCGACTTACGTCCATTTCGACTTACGACCGGTTGGTCGGAACCAAGCTTGGTCATAAGTCGGATGGTAGGTGTATATATATATATATATATATATAGTGATTTACATTTACTAAATAGTACTATACAAGTTGAATTATTTATGAAAAATATTAAGTGTGTAAAGGAAGAAAGTTGAGAGTGAACACAGATAAGAGTAAGGTGATTCTTTTTTTTTTAACACTTCTGCCATTTCCCAATGAGGTAGGGTGACTCAAAAAGAAAGAAAAAACTTCATCATTCAATACTTTCATCATCACTCACACATAATCACTGTCTTTGCAGAGGCGCTCAGACACAACAGCTTAGACGTCCCTCCAAACTGCCAATATCCTAAACCCCTCCTTTGAAGTGCAGGCATTGTACTTCCCATTTCCAGGACTCAAGTCTGGCTAACTGGTTCCTTGAATCCCTTCACAAAATATTACCCTGCTCACACTCCAACAACTTGTCAGGTTCCAAAAACCATTCGACTCCATTCACTCCTATCTAATATGCTCATTCATGCTTGCTGGAAGTCCAAGCCCCTCACTCACAAAACTTCCTTTACCCCTCCCTCCTACCTTTCCAGGGACAACCCCTACCCCGCCTTCCTTCCCCTACAGATTTATACACTCTCCAAGTCATTCTACTTTGTTTCATTCTCTCTAAATGACCAAACCACCTCAACAACCCCTCTTCAGCCCTCTGACTAATACTTTTAGTAACTCCACACCTCCTAATTTCCACACTACAAATTCTCTGCATATTTACACCACACATTGCCCTTAGACAGGACATCTCCACTGCCTCCAGCTGCCTCCTTGCTGCAGCATTTAAAACCCAAGCTTCACACCCATATAAGAGTGTAGGTACCACTATACTCTCGTACATTCCCTTCTTTGTCTCCATGGATAATGTCTCCACAGAACTTTTTTTTCTTCATCAATTCTATGGTTAACCTCCTCCTTCATAAACCCATTTGCTGACAAGTCAACTCCCAAATAGTATCTGAAAACATTCACTTCTTCCATACTCCCTCCCTCCAATGTGATATCCAATTATTCTTTATCTAAATGGTTTGATACCCTCATAAGTTATCTATTTCTAATTTCAAAAAACATGATGTTCTTAATGACTTCCTTACTTTTTATCAAATTCCACACTTTCACTCTCACTTTCTTGTCTCTTGCGGGAAATCTGTCGCTGAAGGACGTCACGACCAAGTTTATCTTCAAGCTGCAATTTAATGTCCTCCAAACCTGTAAGAAATAAGGATGTGAATGCCCTCAATTATTACTTCAAATTATCAATCAAAATCTTTTATTACTCCATCATTACATGGTATACAAGCCACTACCACACACTTCCTTTCATTCTCAAGTATTTTTCAGATTGTATTACTATTGGTAGAATTACTGACCATATAGTATAGTATAGTAGTACTTTCATACATATAGTATAGTAGTACTTTCATACATATAGTATAGTATACAGCAGTAGTATTTTCATACATATAGTATAGTATACAGCAGTAGTACTTTCATACATATAGTATAGTATAGTAGTACTTTCATACATTCCCTTCTTTGCCTCCATAGATAATGTTTTTTGTCTCCACATATACCTCAACGCACCACTCACCTTTTTTCCCCTCATCAATTCTATGATTAACTTCATCCTTCATAAATCCATCCGCCGACACGTCAACTCCCAAATATCTGAAAACATTCACTTCTTCCATACTCCTCCTCCCCAATTTGATATCCAATTCTTCTTTATCTAAATCATTTGATACCCTCATCACCTTACTCTTTTCTATGTTCGCTTTCAACTTTCTACCTTTACACACACTCCCAAACTCGTCCACTAACCTTTGCAATTTTTCTTCAGAATTTCCCATAAGCACAGTATCATCAACAAAAAGCAACTGTGTCAACTCCTATATTGTATTTGATTCCCCATAATTTAATCCCACCTCTCTCCTGAACACCCTAGCATTTACTTCTTTTACAACCCTATCTATAAATATATTAAACAACCATGGTGACATTACACATCCCTGTCTAAGACCTGCTTTTACCGAGAAGTAGTCTCCCTCTTTTCAACACACCCTAACCTGAGTCTCACTATCCTTGTAAAATCTCTTTACAGCATTTAGTAACTTACCACCTATTCCATATACTTGCAACATCTGCCACATTGCTCCTCTATCCACTCTATCACATGCCTTTTCTAAATCCATAAATGCAAAAAAAACTTCCCTACCTTTATTTAAATACTGTTCACATATATGCTTCAATGTAAACACTTGATCTATACATCCTCTACCCACTCTGAAACCTCCTTGCTCATCCGCAATCCTACATTCTGTCTTACCTCTAATTCTTTCAATTATAACCCTACCGTACACTTTTCCTGGTATACTCAGTGAACTTATTCCTCTATAATTTATACAATCTCTTTTGTCCCCTTTCCCTTTATATAAAGGGACTATACATGCTCTCCGCCAATCCCTAGGTACCTTCCCCTCTTTCATACATTTATTAAACAAAAGTACCAACCACTCCAACACTATATCCCCCCTTGCTTTTAACATTTCTGTCATGATCCCATCAGTTCCAGCTGCTTTACCCCCTTTCATTCTACGTAATGCCTCACGTACCTCCCCAACACTTACATTCTGCTCTTCTTCACTCCTAAAAGATGGTATACCTCCCTTACCAGTGCATGAAATTACAGCCTCCCATTCTTCCTTAACATTTAAAAGTTCCTCAAAACATTCTTGCCATCTACCTAATACCTCCATCTCCCCATCTACTACTTCCCTGCTCTGTTTTTAACTGACAAATCCATACTTTCCCTAGGCTTTCTTAACTTGTTTAACTCACTCCAAAATTTTTACTTATTTTCATTAAAATTTCTTGACAGTGCCTCTCCCATTCTATCATCTGCTCTCCTTTTGCACTCTCTCACCACTCTCTTCACATTTCTTTTACTCTCCACATACTCTGCTCTTCTTATAATACTTCTGCTTTGTAAAAACCTCTCATAAGCTACCCTTTTCTCTTTTGTCACACCCTTTACTTCATCATTCCACCAATCACTCCTCTTTCCTCCTGCCCCCACCCTCCTATAAAAACAAACTTCTGCCCCACATTCTAATACTGCATTTTTAAAACTATTCCAACCCTCTTCAACCCCCCCACTAATCTTTGCACTAGCCCACCTTTCTGCCAATAGTCGCTTATATCTCACCCGAACTGCCTCCTCCCTTAGTTTATACACTTTTACCTCCCTCTTACTTGTTGTTGCCACCTTCCTCTTTTCCCATCTACCTCTTACTTTAACTGTAGCTACAACTAAATAATGATCCGATATATCAGTTGCCTTTCTATAAACATGTACATCCTGGAGCCTACCCATCAACCTTTTATCCACCAATACATGATCTAATAAACTACTTTCATTACGTGCTACATCATACCTTGTATATTTATTTATCCTCTTTTTCATAAAATATGTATTACTTATTACCAAATCTCTTTCTACACATAGCTCAATTATAGGCTCCCCATTTACATTTATCCCTGGCACCCCAAATTTACCTACTACTCCCTCCATAACATTTTTACCCACTTTAGCATTGAAATCCCCAACCACCATTACTCTCACACTAGATTCGAAACTCCCCACGCATTCACTCAACATTTCCCAAAATCTCTCTCTCTCCTCTACACTTCTCTCTTCTCCAGGTGCATACATACTTATTATAACCCACTTTTCACATCCAATCTTTATTTTACTCCACATAATCCTTGAATTAATACATTTATAGTCCCTCTTTTCCTGCCATAGCTTATCCTTCAACATTATTGCTACTACTTCTTTAGCTCGAACTCTATTTGAAACCCCTGACCTAATCCCATTTATTCCTCTCCATTGAAACTCTCCCACCCCCTTCAGCTTTCTTTGTTTCACTTAAAGCCAGGACATCCAGCTTCTTCTCATTCATAACATCCACAATCATCTCTTTCTTATCATTTGCACAACATCCACGCACATTCAGACTTCCCACTTTTACAATTTTCTTCTTCTTATTCTTTTTAGTAATTATTACAGGAAAAGGGGTTACTAGCCCATTGTTCCCGGCATTTTAGTTGACTTTTACAACACGCATGGCTTACGGAGGAAAGATTCTTATTCCACTTCCCCATGGATATAAAAGGAAAAGTAATACGACCAAGAACTATAAAGATAAAATCAAAGAAAACTCAGATGAGTGTGTATAAATAAACATGTACATGTATGTGTAGTGTGACCTAAGTGTAAGTAGAAGTAGCAAGACATACTTGTAATCTTGCATATTTATGAGACAGACAAAAGACACCAGCAATCCTACCATCATGTAAAAACAATTACAGGCTTTCGTTTTACACTCACTTGGCAGGACGGTAGTACCTCCCTGGGTGGTTGCTGTCTACCAACCTACTATACATGTACAAGCATATATATACACACCCCTCTGGGTTTTCTTCTATTTTCCTACTAGTTCTTGTTCTTGTTTATTTCCTCTTATCTCCATGGGGAAGTGGAACAGAATTCTTCCTCTGTAAGCTATGTCTGTTGTAAGAGGCAACTAAAATCCCAGGAGCAAGAGGCTAATAACCCCTTCTCCTGTATAAATTACTAAATTTAAAAAGAGAAACTTTTGTTTTCTTTTTGAGCCACCCTGCCTCGGTGGGATACAGCCGGTTTGTTGAAAGAAAGAAGATTCCTCAAAATACTCTGATATATGATACAGTATTTTGATATACAGTACTTTACTGTACTTACACTCAATTAACCATCCACTCTTTATAACCCTTAACCCTTAAACTGTCCAAACATAGATCTACGTTCACTCGCATGGTACTCCAAATATTTTGAAAAATAAAAAAAAAAAATGTTTTCTTTTAACCCTTAAACGGTCCAAACGTATATATACGTTTTTTCAACATCTGAAAGTATGTAAAAAAATGTAGATCTTTTTTGTTTTACATTTGAAAACGTGTAAAAAAACTTTTATCTACTTTTTTTTTTGTTATATTTGAAAATATGTAAAAAAAAGCAGATCTACTTTTGTAGCACTACGAATTTGAATGTCAATCTCTTTGGACCGTTTAAGGGTTAAAATGAAGAGCGCATTTTTCTACATGTTATAGAATTAAAAAAAAAAAATTTAGGGTCAGTATTTACCGAGATATAAGACCTTGAAGTTGGCACTGGATGCTCAACTGTCGGCAACATCGACCCCTGCCACTTGCAAAAGTGTTGCCAATATAACTTTTTTCTCATTTTTATTTTAATTTATATATTTTTTATGTTCTGATAATTACAATATATAATAGTTCTTGTAATTTCATAGCCAATCTTTGTTCTGACACTAATATTAAGTACTGAAATAGTTCTCAAATAGTCACAATCACATTGACAGGTGAACATTTACACCTGCCTGGGTTATTTACTATTGTCTAGAAATATATACAAAATATTTACAGGTCCCAGCAATGTTTTAGAAACCCTGGCATATACCTTGAAGCATGTTGTTATGAAAGGCATCCCTATACTGTTGACAGCCTAGTGACATTTGATAAATGCATACTGCTCCAGCTAACCCTCGCTGTATTTGTTATCACTGTTACACACAAACATGTCTTGTCTCTCTGTCTATTTATATATCTATCTGTCTGTATCTGCCTGTCTGTCGGTCTATCTGTCTACCTGCTTATCTGTCTGTCTGCCTATCTATGTCTCTGTCTATCTGTTTGTCTCTGCTTATCTGTCTGCCTGGAGTATAGGATATCAAACTCCTTGAAGAATCGTGTTATGACATCTGTTATCAGCTTGGTGACATTTAATAAATGGGTGCTCGGGGGAGCCCTGGCTTTGTTTTTACTGATACACACAAACATGTTTCTGTCTGTCTGTCTGTCTGTCTGTCTGTGTCTATCTGTCTGTCTGTGTCTGTCTGTCTATCTACCTATCTGTCTGTCTATCTTTGCCTGGAATTTTTGATTATCCTAGGTAATTTACACTATGCATAATAACTTTACGTATGTGTACATGTGAGACAGAGATATAGATAGACAGAGATACAGATATAGACAGATATATGGATAGACAGAATAGATAGATAGAGATATAGACAGACAGAGATATAGACAGAGAGACAGCCAAAGCAAGCCAGCCGGCCAACCTGCCGAATGCATAAGAACATAAGAAAGAGGGAACACTGCAACAGGCCTACTGGCCCATGCAAGGCAGGCACATGTCACACTCCCCCCCCCCCCCAGCTTAGACAAATGACCCACCAAGTCAGGTCACATCCATTGACTAGCACAAGCTAGTAAGGTCCAACTCACACCCACCCACACTCGTGTATTTATCTAACCTATTTTTACTTTCCTCTTAAAATGGGAGTGTTAATGCAACGTGGCATCAGTGAATCCCTGGTGTTTGCCACGCTATTTGCTCTAGCTGGCGCTCAATTGAACCGGTGCTCCCACAAGGTACTAAGTGCTCCCAGATTTTTTTAAAAGTGCGCACACTGAGTGCGCAGATCCATTCTTTCATGTCTAGGCAACTCAAGCCTATTGTGCTAAATTTTAAGGAATGAAAAATAAAATGTTGATCTACGTTTGGAGCGCTACACGTGCAAACGTAGATCTACGTTTGGACAGTTTAAGGATTAAACTGTAAAAAACATATCTACAGCCAAGTGAGGACCTGTTTACCACAAATATTAACACAACATAATATAAAGAAACACAAAATCAATTACTGTACATATAAAAACAGACCATGGAGTGGGTGGCTATACTTCCACTGGCAACATCATTTAAACTTTTTCAAGAGAGAAAGTTAATACAAAAACTTCTCTTATTGATGGTACAGAATGCCAACAATTTAATGATTAAGACATGTGAAATATTTGCATCTATAAATTTCAACATTTATGAAATACTGTACTATTCCCATTCTAACAAGATTCATGTACAGATCCTGCAAAAGTTGTTTTTGTTAGAGCAGTATAAATTGTCGACGTTTTACCAATTTACATTAAAATATTAGTAAAATGAAATAAAATAATGAACTCAAAACTTGCTTACTTTATTCCTATAACCTAATGTTGGGTCATTCCACCTTTAGCTTCAATTACTTGTTAAATTCATGAAGGCATCCTACCAAAGAAATTCTTGAAATAATCATTGTCTATTGTGATACAAATTTTCTTAAGTTTGAAATGGCCAAACCAGAGGTCTTCTCTTCCATACTAAGCTTACAGCACCCCCATTATAATCACTTGTAACCAAAGTTTGAGCTGTCAAACAATCCAAGTCCAAAATATGAGTCACGAGTACATGAAAATGCACCCTCCTGCAGCCACTCCAATGAGCTAATTGAAGTTGAGGGATGGGTGGAAACTGTTTCTAATAAATGATCAGCCTCAGTAATATTGTCCATGGTCTGTCTAGTGCAAGAGAAAACATGGTAATGTTTAAATTTGTCATAAAAAACAAAAAAAAGGCACAATACCATGACTCCCCTCCTACTCTTACTACCTCCCCACTACTACTTCCTTCCCTCCACTACTACTACTACTACCACCACCTCCTACCTATATATACCCATCCTGCTCTGCTTTTCGTTAGTGTGACTTTGTAAATGGTCGAAGTTGGACCGAAATGTTGTCATAAGCTCCTCTCTTCTATGTGTGGGTTATTTGTTAAACTGTCAATTTGTTTTGCATTTTTGGTTTGGTAACTTCTTTTTGTGGATACTGTACATAGCTTTGAAGGTTATGCTAACAATATTCTCCTCATACATACCTTCCAGTGCATCCTCCTCCTCCTCTTTTTCTGATAAATATTGAAGCAAGAAATCTTGGAATTCTCCTTTATTTTCGAGAAGTTCCAAGTAGGTTCCCTGTTCTGTTACCACTCCATTTTTAAGAACTACAATCTTGTCAACTTGCGGCAGGTATGTTACACTATGGGTTACCAAAATCCGAGTCTACAAGGATATAAAAGTATACATTAAAAATAGTGGAAAAAGGTAAAACACAGCAATTATATTTTTAAAATGTATTAATTTAGACAGCGATTCCACTTAGGTGGATCTGAGTCATGGAAATGGGAAGTACAATGCCTGCACTTTAAATGAGGGGTTTGGGATATTGGCAGTTTGGAGGGACTTCTAAACTGTCGTATCTGAGTGCATCTGCAAAGACAGTGATTACGCATGAGTGAGGTGAAAGTATTGAATGATGATGAAAGCATTTTTCTTTTTGGGGACTTTCTTTCTTATTGGGTCACTCTGCCTTGGTGAGAGACAACCGACATGTTAAAAAAAAAAAAAATAATACATCTCTGAAAAATCTCGATCTCAAGTTCACAAAACAAAATAAAACAAAAAACAAAAAACTCTTCTCTTTCTTAAGATCTATTGGTATGAAAAAAAAAATTAGCCTCATTTTAGTCATTTGACAGCACAAGACAAAACACTATACCACTGTTACAAATCTATTTTGTCCTCTAGAAGGATGATTAAAATCAGAAAAAAAAATCATATGGCATAATATCACAACTTTTCTCATCTTACCTACCTTTTTCTTCAGAATTCCATGTGGTCCAATTACTTGTTCGAATATATGCTTGCCCACGTGAGAGTCCACAGCACTGAGAGGGTCATCAAGGAGGTAGATGTCAGTATCAGCATATACAGCACGAGCAAGACTGACACGCTGCTTCTGACCACCACTCAGGTTGATGCCCTAAACAAAAGAAATATATGATACGTAAAAAGATTGTGTAAAGGCCTCACTAATTCTCTTTTCTCTCACTGGCACAAAATATGTTGCACTATCTAATTTCTTAAGTGACTATTCTAACTGATCAGCGTCAGTAGTTTATGTCAAGTTTGAGAACTTCCACACTTCATTATGCTAATGGTAAGACACGTATGCAATAGTTAGGTATCTTTATTTCAAAACGTTTCACCTACAAAGTAGGCTTCTTCAGTCGAGTACAGTGATGGACTGATTACATCGTCTTCACGTCTCTTCTGCTTCTATCAACTTTTCTGTACTCGAAATAAAAATACCTAACTGTTATACGTGTGTCTTACCTACAACCTGTCGGTATTTTATACCATTTTAGTATTCACCATAACTTAATCTCATTCTCCATCTTCACTATCATTGAACACATTCAATAACTTGCAACACTGTGCCAGGTTGCTTTTACAATAATTAGTGTGCAGTTCATTAAAATGCAACTATCTCCTGCAACTGAAAATCTCAACAGAATTTTATTCTGGTCAAAAAGATGCTACTTTCAACATCAACAGAAGTTATGCACTTCTAATATATAATCAAATCAAACAATTGCTCATTTATATGATGAGTGGGAGCAATTCACAACAGGCTCACAACTGGCAACAAATCTTTAGATGTTTCAATCCATCCTGAAGCCTTATCCAGTCATGACTGATAATGGTCCAGAATGGAAAGAAGTACTGTCCAAAAAATTATCTCTGATTTCTGGCTTATTTATATATTTTTATACAGTGAACAAACTGAAAACACATTTCCATATCTACTCATCTGGCACTTACATCAAGTTTTTATTCATGTAGCATTAAACCAACTTCAATTTTTGCAGTGTTTTAGTGCATCTATATCCACTTCTCTCTCAAACTCATCTGTGTGTATATTTATAAGATATTCATGTAAATATGTTAGTAAGTAATTGCTTGCCTTTTCACCAATTTCTGTCTGATCTCCAGCAGGAAGCATCTCCAGGTCAGCTGCCAGTGCACATGCTCGGACACAGCTGTTATATCTGTCATCATCCTTTTGATTGTTAAATAAAATGTTGCTTTCTAAAGTAGAATTCTGAATCCAAGCTTGCTGAGACACATAAGCAATATTTCCCTGAAAAATAAATCACATTAGACAACCATTTAAATGGTAAGATGTTATCAAAGACATGGGTTGTTAAGAGACAGGTAAGATACAGAATTAATGACTTAGTCAATGCCAAGAAGCAATAACAATACAAGAGTATAAAGTGAAATGAGAATCTCACTAAAATGTTGAAGTAGCAAACAGTGAAAAGAGTACTGTGGACTGAACTGCCACCCTTCCAACAGGAAAATTATCCTGTTTTTGAGTCACAGTGATCTTCAGAAATATCAACAGCCTGTGAGCAATGAAATAATTCAACATGGGTTTACCTTCAACATATAAAAAAAAAGGTCCTCGCATAACAAACAAGTTGTATTCTTGAAAATTATTGGTAACCCAAATGTTTGAAATGCAGAACCTATTTTCCCATAGGATCCCAAGCTATAATCTGTTCATTTTTAAATTTAACAATAACATTTTGTATCAAATTTTAATTTTGTATTTTTAACCCTTTCAGGGTCCGTCCCGTAGATCTACGCCTTCACGCTGAGTGTCCAAACCGTAGATCTACGCCAAAATTCTAGCACCATCAAATTTAGCACAAAAGCGCTCATAGGCCTACATGTGAGAGAACGGGTCTGCGTGGTGGGTTGCGCCATAAACAAAAAATCTAGGCGCCCACTGTCCTTGCTCAATCTAACCAAATTCCTAGCTATTTCGTTAGTACGTTTCCTTTCTATTGACTGAGCATAAGAGAGTGCCCATTCAACTATCAGAATTATCCTATAAAGGGCAGAAAAATTCAGCAAATTCTATTTTAAAAATAGAATCCAAAATAAACACTGTAGGCATTTCAGACACTAAAGCAATCTACCCTCTGTTCAGTAATCATGTCCTCAGGCCTTTCATCTAACATCACACAGAAAATAAAAATTTTACCCTATTTTTCAGCTAACAAAATATAACCAACAATGACTGGTCATGGTTTAAGGCATCCCAATAACTGAAGCAGCCCTAGTAAAAATCCATATAACAGATCGGGGGATGGGGGCCCTACCTGCCCTTAGGAAAACCGCCAAAAATTTAATATTTACGTTACTTTGGAGTTATTGCAAATGACGAAGGCTAACATGTCTTCCATTCTATCAACTGATACCAAGAAAGTCATAAAATCATACAAACATCCTGCCTAAAAAACACATAAGAGTCACTATTTTAAACCAAGCACAAGGTCAGGGGGTTTGCTTTTTCCCATCATGCACAACATCAGGTAAACTTTTCTTTATATTGTGCACTCACTTCACAGACACATTCTCTAATGTCTAAGCCAAAATTTATCGCTCACAGCATATCTGAGGGTGCTATGCTTAAAATGCAGATATGCATGAGCAATACTGGCATCAGTAACACAGATCTACATATGAGACAGTGAAAGGGTTAATGTGTGCATGTTCATTCAACAACAAAATAACGCACCTTAGAGAAAATGATTTTAGATTTCATTTTTTTATCCAGCTTCATTTCAAAGGTCATCGACTTCCTTTTCCATGGTACAATACTTGGACATCAGAGTATTCAGACAACTGATACTGGGTAATCAGGATGAGTTACAAGGGATGGTAGACAGCAACCACCCAGGGGATTACTACCGTCCTGCCAAGTTAGTGTGAAACGAAAGCCTGTAATTGTTTTACATGATGGTAGGATTGCTGGTGTCTTTTGTCTGTCTCATAAATATGCAAGATTACAGGTACGTCTTGCTACTTCTACTTACACTTATGTCACACTACACATACATGTACATGTTTATTTATACACACTCATCTGAGTTTTCTTTGATTTTATCTTAATAGTTCTTGGTCTTATTACTTTTCCTTTTGTATACATGGGGAAGTGGAATAAGAATCTTTCCTCCGAAAGCCATGCGTGTTGTAAAGGTCAACTAAAATGCCGGGAAAAATGGGCTAGTAACCCCTTTTCCTGTAATAATTACTAAAAAGAATAAGAAGAAAATTATCAAAGTGGGAAGTCTGAATGTGCGTGGATGTGCAAATGATAAGAAAGAGATGATAGTGGATGTTATGAATGAGAAGCTGGATGTCCTGGCTTTAAGTGAAACAAAGCTGAAGGGGGTGGGAGAGTTTCAGTGGAGAGGAATATATGGGATTAGGTCAGGGGTTTCAAATAGAGTTAGAGCTAAAGAAGGAGTAGCAATAATGTTGAAGGATAAGTTATGGCAGGAAAAGAGGGACTATAAATGTATTAATTCAAGCATTATGTGGAGTAAAATAAAGGTTGGATGTGAAAAGTGGGTTATAGTAAGCATATATGCACCTGGATAAGAGAGAAGTGTAGAGGAGAGAGATTTTGGGAAAGGTTGAGTGAATGCATGGAGAGTTTTGAACAAAGTGTGAAAGTAATGGTGGTTGGGGATTTCAATGCTAAAGTGGGTAAAAATGTTGTGGAGGGAGTAGTAGGAAACTCTGGGGTGCCACGGGTAAACGAAAATGGGGAGCCTTTAATTGAGCTATGTGTGAAAGAGGTTTGGTAATAATAATACTTTTTTTATGAAGAAAAAGAGGAAAAAATAAATATACAAGGTATAAAATATAGCACTGTAATGAAAGTAGTTTGGTTAGATTATGATTGGTGGATAAAAGGTTGAGGGGTAGGCTCCAGGATGTACACGTTTATAGAGGGGCAACTGATATATCGGATCATTATTTAGTTGTAGCTACAGTTAGAGTAAGAGGTAGATGTGAAAAGAGGAAAATGGCAACAACAAGCAAGAGAGAGGTGAAAGTGTATAAACTAAGGGAGGAGGAAGTTCGGGTGAGATATAAGCAACTATTGGCAGAAAGGTGGGCTGGTGCAAGTATGAGTAGTAGGGGAGTTAAAGATGGTTGGAATAGTTTTAAAAATGCATTATTAGAATGTGGGGCAGAAGTTTGTGGTTATAGGAGGGTGGGTGCAGGAGGAAAGAGGAATAATTGGTGGAATGATGAAGTAAAGGGTGTGATAAAAGAGAAAAGTTAGCTTATGAGAGGTTTTTACAAAGCAGAAGTGTTATAAGAAGAGTAGAGTTATGGAGAGTAAAAGAAAAGGTGAAGAGAGTGGTGAGAGAGTGCAAAAGGAGAGCAGATGATAGAGTGGGAGAGGCACTGCAAGGAATTTTAATGAAAAATAAAAAAAAATTTGGAGTTAAACAAGTTAAGAAAGCCTAGAGAACGAATGGATTTGTCAGTTAAAAACAGAGTAGGGGAGTTAGTAGATGGGGAGATGGAGGTTTTGGGTAGATGGCGAAAATATTTTGAGGAACTTTTAAATGTCGACGGAGAAAGGGAAGCGGTAATTTCATGCACTGGCAAGGTAGGTATACCATCTTTTAGGAGTGAAGAAGAACAGGATGTGAGAGTGGGGGAGGTGCGCGAGGCATTACGCAGAATGAAAGGGGGTAAAGCAGCTGGAACTGACGGGATCATGACAGAAATGTTAAAAGGAGGGGGAGATAAAGTGTTTGAGTGGTTGGTATTTTTGTTTAACCCGTAAACGGTCCAAGCAGATCTACGTTCACATGCGTAGTGCTCCAATAGCAGGTCTATGTTTTTTTTTTAAATATTTTCAAAAATAACAAAAAAAAAAAAAGTAGATCAAAGTTTTTTTTACATGTTTTCAAACGTAAAAAAAAAAAGAAGAGCTACTTTTTTACATACTATCAAATGTTGAAAAAACGTATATATACGTTTGGACCGTTTACGGGTTAATAAATGTATGAAAGACGGGAAGGTACCTAGGGATTGGCCGAGAGCATGTACAGTCCCTTTAATAAGAGGGAAGGGGGAAAAGAGAGACTGTAAAAATTATAGAGGAAGAAGTTTACTGAGTATACCAGGAAAAGTGTACGGTAGGGTTATAACTGAAAGAATTGTAGGTAAGACAGAATGTAGGATTGTGGATGAGCAAGGAGGTTTCAGAGTGGGTAGGGGATGTGTAGATCAAGTGTTTACATTAAAGCGTATACAGGAAGGCCCCACTTATACGCCTGGTTAGGTTCCAGGCTACCGCCGTAAAGCGGAAACCGCCGTAAAGGGGAACACCCTTTTTTTCCATTTAAACAATCATACAAACACTAGATAAAAGTTACACTAACATATATTAAGTTGAAATAAACCCAGGCTCAAAAAACAATAAAAAGTACAATATCACACATGCACTCATTACTTACCTTAAAAATTATAGTCTTAATCTAGGGTGAGACAAGTAGTATTTATTAAGAAACAAGGTGGAAATGTATGTAGTCACCAGGCTACCATACATGCCACCCACCACACATAAAATTTCTATATATTTAACATCCAGAGCGATAAAAGTTTATACAGTTCACTATTACTTACTTAAAAATATAGGGTGAGATAAGTATATTTATTGTAAAAAAATCAAGTGTGGTATGTATGGTAGTCACCCGGGGGCTACCATACCAGGCCAACCCACCTACACATAATATTCTATTACATTTAAGCATCCCAGAGCGATAAAATGTATATCCAGTTCACTCATTACTTACCTTAAAATATAGGGTGAGATGAGTAGTATTTATTGTAAAAAATCAAGTGTGGTATGTTATGGTAGTCAGCCGGGCTACCATACCGGGCCAACCCACCTACACATAATATTCTATTACATTTAAGCATCCCAGAGCGATAAAATGTATATACAGTTCATCATTACTTACCTTAAAATATTTGTAGTCTTAATGTAGGGTCAGAGTAATTTAAATAGATAAAACGAAAAAATGAGAGAGAGAAAGACTGAGTGCATGAGAAGAGGACAGGCGCAGAGTTATGTAAACAAACCAGGCGAAGGTAAGTTTTGTAAACAAAGTGTACACGTCTGGTTTGTGTACTAGTTACATTGTGTACAGGTTGTCTCTACATTGATAAGGTAGAATAAAAAAAGAAGAACACTCCCATTCTCATGTAAATCATTTTGAGAAGAAATGATGCTCTGAGTGAAGGCAATGGAAATAAGTCATTGACTTTCTTGGGTTATCCTAGGTTCTCTACACATATGTTGTTATGTATGATAATCTATGTAACTGTATTTGTGTATACCTGAATAAACTTACTTACATACATACGAAAGGAATAATTTTCTACAGTTACCCCCAGTAACACATTTTCTCTTATGTTAGATTAGAGAAAATGTTATTCTTGGCATCACTTGTACAAGTTATCTGGCTACCACATCTCATTTATGTTTATTTATTCTATTGTAGGGTGTATTTATCATCTTTTTATGTTATGTATCATGTTTATTATATAATTTTGAAAAAAATATCATGGATGGATTAATGAAAATGTGTATATTAACGTAACATACATTTAATGAGACTCGGTGATTATTATTATTATTATTAGTATTTCTAATATGGCGTCACTTGTGCAAGTCGTCTGCTACCACATCTCATATTTATGTTTATTTATTCTATTGTGGGGTGATTTATCATCTTTTTTATGTTATGTATCGTGTTCATTATATAATTTTGAAAAAATATCATAGATGGATTAATGAAAAAAGTGTATTTAAACGTTTAAAATACGACATTTAAATGAGACTCGATGATTATTATTATCATTACTAATATGACGTCTGGAGACATAAGACACTCTTACTGATTTTAATGTGTACCGCACGCCAGCACAGTATGTAAGTTTATTTAAGTACAGGTATACATAAGTATAATTATCAGAGTATATATAAAATATGAAATAACTTTTAAAAACATTTGAAATTTTGGAGTTTCCAGACAAAATGGAGAGACTTAGTGCTTACTGACCTCACGAAGAATGTAAACAAACAAGGTGGGGCGCGGTGACCGTATTAGAAAGTCAGGTGGGGGGAGCCGTATAGCGAGTTTTGGTCATAATTTGAAATGACCGTATTAGCGGAACGCCGTAAAGTGAAACGCCATAAAGCGGGGCCCTGCTGTATGTGAACAGTATTTAGATAAAGGTAGGGAAGTTTTTATTTCATTTATGGATTTAGAAAAGGCATATGATAGAGTGGATAGGGGAGCAATGTGGCAGATGTTGCAAGTATATGGAATAGGTGATAAGGTATTAAGTGCTGTAAAGAGTTTTATGAGGATAGTGAGGCTCAGGTTAGGATGCGTAGAAGAGAGGGAGACTACTTCCCAGTAAAAGTAGGTCTTAGACAGGGATGTGCCATGTCACCATGGTTGTTTAATATATATATATATATAGATGGGGTTGTAAAAGAAGTAAATGCCAGGGTGTTCAGGAGAGGGTTGGGATGAAATTATGGGGAATTAAATACAAAATGGGAATTGACACAGTTGCTTTTTGCTGATGATACTGTGCTTATGGGAGATTTTAAAGAAAAATTGCAAAGGTTAGTGGATGAGTTTGGGAGTGTGTGTAAAGGTAGAAAGTTGAAAGTGAACATAGAAAAGAGTAAGGTGATGAGGGTATCAAATGATTTAGATAAAGAAAAATTGGATATTAAATTGGGGAGGAGTAGTATGGAAGAAGTGAATGTTTTCAGATACTTGGAAGTTGATGTGTCAGCAGATGGATTTATGAAGGATGAGGTTAATCATAGAACTGACGAGGGAAAAAAGGTGAGTGGTGCGTTGAGGTATATGTGGAGACAAAAAAACGTTATGTATGGAGGCAAAGAAGGGAATGTATGAAAGTATTGTAGTACCAACACTCTTATATGGGTGTGAAGCTTGGGTTGTGAATGCAGCAGCGAGGAGGTGGTTGGAGGCAGTGGAGATGTCCTGTCTAAGGGCAATATGTGGTGTAAATATTATGCAGAAAACTCGGAATGTTGAAATTAGGAGAAGGTGTGGAGTTAATAAAAGTATTAGTCAGAGGGCTCAAGAGGGGTTGTTGAGGTGGTTTGGTCATTTAGAGACAATGGATCAAAGTAGAATGACATGGAGAGGGTATAAATCTGTAGGGGAAGGAAGGTGGGGTAGGGGGCGTCCTCGAAAAGGTTGGAAGGGGTAAGGGAAGTTTTGTGGGCGAGGGGCTTGGACTTCCAGCAGGTGTGCATGAACGTGTTCGATAGGAGTGAATGGAGATGAATGGTATTTGGGACCTGACGATCTGCTGGAGTGTGAGCAAGGTAATATTTAGTGAAGGGATTCAGGGAAACCGGTTATTTTTATATAGCCGGACTTGAGTCCTGGAAATGGGAAGTACAATGCCTGCACTCTAAATTAAGGGTTCGGGATATTATCAGTTTGGAGGGATATGTTGCGTATCTTTACATGTTTATGCTTCTAAACTGTTGTGTTCTGAGCACCTCTGCAAAAACAATGATTATGTGTGAATGAGGTGAAAGTGTTGAATGATGATGACAGTATTTTCTTTTTGTGGATTTTCTTTCTTTTTGGGTCACCCTGCCTCGGTGGGAGACGGCTGATTTGTTAAAAAAAAAAAATAAATACTCTCCAAAATATATAAAAAAAAAAACAATATCACAAACATTTCACAAGCAGCACCTTTATATTAACTCTTCCAGACTGCTTCTCCATTTCTCCTAAGATTGCTGAGATGAGGGAGGACTTGCCTGCACCAACACTCCCTACAACAGCAACCAAGGAACCATCAGCCACACTTAAGTTGATGTTTTTCAAAACTGGCTTTCCCTCCTCTTCACCATGGCCCCATGCAAATGTGCCATCCTTAATTATAACAGGATTACCTGAAAGTAAATAAATATACAATGACAATTAAAAACAGTAATTATATCCTAGGAAGGGGCTAGTAACCCCTTCTGTATAAATTACTAAATTTTAAAATAGAAACTTTTGTTTTGTTTTTTTAGGTCACTTTGCTTCAATAGGATAGGTCTGCCTTGCAAGAGGGAGGTGAAAGTGTATCAATCAATCAAGTTTATTCTCTACATGGATTACAATGCGGGGTTTACAGATTTTGGATATTGTGTGGTTTACATGTTTTAAAATACTAAGTACAGAGGGCGGCCACTAGGACACCTAGCATGGCTAGGCATTTTGGGCAGACTAAGATTAATTCTAAACTTTAAATTACAGTGGACCCCCGGTTAACGATATTTTTTCTCTCCAGAAGTATGTTCAGGTGCCAGTACTGACCGAATTTGTTCCCATAAAGAATATTGTGAAGTAGATTAGTCCATTTCAGACCCCCAAACATACACGTACAAACGCACTTACATAAATACACTTACATAATTGGTCGCATTGGGAGGTGATCGTTATGCGGGGTCCACTGTATTACAGATTATGGTATTAAGGCTAAGTGACTACATTATAGTTTGTGAGTTTAGCAATGTGAATGCTTTTGTTTTGGCACAATACATAGTGTCTATATTGGAGTATCATAGGCAAGTTTATGACTAGTTAGGATTCATTATTTAAAGATTAAGATTCGTATTTCTGTTTTTATAGTCAATGGGTGAGTGAATGTAAGTGTGAACCACCAGGTGGTTTACATGTAGTTAGCTGATGGGGAGTATCAGGGAGATGTTTTCTAACTGTATAAACTAAGGGATGAAGAAGTTCAGGTGAGATATAAGCAACTATTGGCAGAAAGGAGGGCTGGTGCAAGTATGAGTGCAAGTATGGAGTGCAAGTATGGAGTGATATGGAGTGAGTTAAACAAGTTAAGAAAGCCTAGAGAATGAATGGATTTGTCAGTTAAAAACAGAGTAGGGGAGTTAGTAGATGGGGAGATGGAGGTTTTGGGTAGATGGCGATAATATTTTGAGGAACTTAAATGTTGTGTCGATGTATATAATACCGACAAGGTGAGATTAAGACTGTGAACACTGGGTATTTTATGTAGACTTCATGACCTTCACGATACGACATACTACTACATAACATCTCTTTAAGACTATAGGGAATCCCGCCTAAGAATCAGGTGTAATTGAGTACTATTAAGGCAGGCTTTCTGCTCAGAATTCCACGTTGGTGCTTGTATCTAGGTTGAGGATTGTTCTATTTGTCATAGTTATGTCTCAAGTTATGTCTAAATTTGTATTGAAAGCCACTGATGGAATCTAAATAAAGATACAGATGTTGACATGGTTTAATCTAACTTTTAAATGTCGATGAAGAAAGGGAAGCGGTAATTTCATGCACTGGCCAGGTAGGTATAACATCTTTTAGGAGTGAAGAAGAAGAACAGGATGTGAGTGTGGGGGAGGTGCGTGAGGCATTACGTAGAATGAAAGGGGGTAAAGCAGCTGGAACTGACGGGATCATGACAGAAATGTTAAAAGCCGGGGGGGGGGGGTTACATAGTGGTAGAGTGGTTGGTATTTTTGTTTAATAAATGTACGAAAGAGGGGAAGGTACCTAGGGATTGGCAGAGAGCATGTACAGTCCTTTATATAAAGGAAAAGGGGAGAGAAGAGATTATAAAAATTATAGAGGACTAAGTTTACTGAGAATACCAGGAAAAGTGTACAGTAGGGTTATAATTAAAAGAATTAGAGGTAAGACAGAATGTAGGATTGCGAATGAGCAAGGAGGTTCCAGAGTGGGTAGGGGATGTGTAGATCAAGTGTTTAACATTGAAGCATATATGTGAACAGTATTTAGATAAAGGTAGGGAAGTTTTTATTGCATTTATGGATTAAGAAAAGGCATATGATAGTGGATAGGGGAGCAATGTGGCAGATGTTGCAAGTATATGAAATAGGTGGTAAGTTATTAACCCTTTCAGGGTCCAAGGCCCAAATCTGGAGTCACGCACCCGTGTCCAAGAATATTAAAAAAAAAAAAATTGGTATTTTTTCTTATGAAATCGTAGAGAATCTTTTTGTGAAGGTAATAAAACAAAAAGTACGAATTTGGTGGAAAATTGACGAAATTATGCTCTCGCGAATTTTGATGTGTCAGCGATATTTACGAATCGGCGATTTTGCCGACTTTGACTCCCATTTTAGGCCAATTACATTATTCCAATCAACCAAATTCTTAGCTATTTCACTAGTATTACTTCTATTCTATCGATTGAGCACAAGAAATCGCCACGTCAACTGTTTCAACTACAAAATAAAGTGATCGGAAATTGTTAATTTGGCCAATTTAACACAAAGTTCAAAATATTCCAATTTCAAAATAGGGTGCAGAATAAACAATGTAGGCATTCCTGGCACTAAACTAACATTTCCTCTGTTCATTAGTTATGTTTTGAGGCTTTACAAATAAATTCCATTTTGATTTTTTATTCACATAATGAATTTTTATTCACACCAAAAAATAGAAGATTTACTGTTATGCAATACTGTAATAATTGTATAAATATCATCACCATATTTGTGAATGTATATTAGACCCACCAGCTGACCTGTATTAGACGTGTGAGGTCGTTTGTTTACTCTTGAATATCGGCAAAAATTTAACATTTCCGCTACTTTGAGCTCAGTTTCAAGCCATTTCCAGTGTTAAAACCAATCAAAATCATCTCTATTTCTGTAATATGTCTTCCATTCTATCAAATGAGACCAAGAAATCGCAAATACAACTATAAAAAACATACGAAAAAACACTGCAAAGTTGTTGTTTTAATCGAAAAATCATGATTTCAGTTTTTTCTCTCATTATACACAGTGTGCTGCAGGATCTGTTTTATGTGGTGCACACATACCACATAGATGTATTCTCTCATATCTAGGCCCAAATGTACCAGTCACAGTTTATCAGAGTGAGCTGAGCTCATGGCGTAGATCTACAGTTTGGACACTCACCATAAAGCCGTAGATCTACGGGACGGACCCTGAAAGGGTTATTAAAATGCTGTAAAGAGTTTTTATGAGGATAGTGAGGCTCAGGTTAGGGTGTGTAGAAGAGAGGGAGACTACTTCCTGGTAAAAGTAGGTCTTAGACAGGGATGTGTAATGTCACCATGGTTGTTTAATATATTTATAGATGGGGTTGTAAAAGAAGTAAATGCTAGGGTGTTCGGGAGAGGGGTGGGATTAAATTATGAGGAATCAAATACAAAATGGGAATTGACACAGTTACTTTTCGCTGATGATACTGTGCTTATGGGAGATTCTAAGGAAAAATTGCAAAGGTTAGTGGATGAGTTTGGGAGTGTGTGTAAAGGTAGGAAGTTGAAAGTGAACATAGACAAGAGTATGGTGATGAGGGTATCAAATGATTTAGATAAAGAAAAATTTGATATCAAATTGGGGAGGAGGAGTATGGAAGAAGTGAATGTTTTCAGATAATTGGGAGTTGGCGTGTCGGCGGATGGATTTATGAAGAATGAGGTTAATTATAGAATTGAGGGAAAAAAGGCGAGTGGTGCATTGAGGTACATGTGAAGACAAAAAACGTTGTGTACGAATGGTATATAATACCGACAAGATGAGATTAAGACACATGTGCAACATCTGGGTATCTTTATTGTAGACGTATTGATAAAGCCACTTGATGGCGAAACGTCTACAATAAAGATACCCAGATGTTGCACATGTGTCTTAATCTCACAAAAAACGTTATCTATGGAGGCAAAGAAGGGAATGTATGAAAGTATAGTAGTACCAACACTCTTATATGGGTGTGAAGCTTGGGTTGTGAATGCAGCAGTGAGGAGGTGGTTGGAGGCAGTGGAGATGTCCTGTCTAAGGGCAATGTGTGGTGTAAATATTATGCAGAAAATTTGGAGTGTGGAAATTAGGAGAATGTGTGGAGTTAATAAAAGTATCAGTCAGAGGGCTCAAGAGGGGTTGTTGAGGTGGTTTGGTCATTTAGAAAGAATGGATCAAAGTAGAATGACATGGAGAGCATTTAAATCTGTAGGGGAAGGAAGGCGGGGTATGAGTCGTCCTCGAAAAGGTTAGAAGGAAGGGGTAAGGGAGGTTTTGTGGGCGAGGGGCTTGGACTTCTAGCAGGCGTGCATGAGCGTGTTTGATAAGAGTGAATGGAGATGAATGGTATTTGGGACCTGACGATCTGTTGGAGTGTGAGCAGGGTAATATTTAGTGAAGGGATTCAGTGAAACCGGTTATTTTTATATAGCCGGACTTGAGTCCTGGAAATGGGAAGTACAATGCCTGAACTCTAAAGGAGGGGTTTTGGGATATTAGCAGTTTGGAGGGATATGTTGTGTATCTTTATATGTACTAAATGCTTCTAAACTGTTGTGATCTGAGCACCTCTGCAAAAACAGTGAGTATGTGTGAGTGAGGTAAAAGTGTTGAATGATGATGAAAGTACATGTATTTTCTTTTTGGGGATTTTCTTTCTTTTTGGGTCACCCTACCTCGGTTGGAGATGGCTAACTTGTTAAAAAAAAAAAAGTCACCATGGGACCTATGAAGATTAATGATAACAGCCAACAAAACAGAAAATTGGTTGGGAAGAACTTGCTCAATACTCAAACAGAGCAGCACTCGAACAGTCTTCTGGAATTAATTGAAGTCACATACCGAGGTTCCACTGTATTTGGGAGTTGACTTGTCAATGGATGGGTTTATGAAAGATGAGGTAAACAATAGAAATGATTAAGGAAAAAAAGATGAGTGGTGCATCGAGGTATCTGTGGAGACAAAGAACATTATCTACGGAAGCAAGGAAGGGAATGTACGAGAGTATAGTTGCAGCAACACTCTTATATGGGTGTGAAGTATGGGTTGCAAATGCTGCAGCAAGGAGGTGGCTGGAGGCAGTGGAGATGTCGTGTCTAAGGGCAATGTGTAGTGTAAATATTATGCATAGAATTCGCAGTGTGGAAATGAGGAGGAGGTGTGGAGTTGCTAAAAGTATTAGTCAAGGGGCTCAAGAGGGGCTGTTGAGGTGGTTTGGTCATTTAGAGAGAATGGAACAAACTAGAATGACATGGAGAGCATATAAATCTATTGAGGAAGGAAGGTGGGGTAGGGGTCATTTCCAAAAAGGTTGGAGGGATGGGGTAAAGGAAATTTTGTGAGCAAGGGGCTTGGACTTCCATCAAGTGTGCGTGAGCGTGTTAGATAGGAGTGAATGGAGACGAAAGGTTTTTGGACCTGATGAGCTGTTGCAGTGTGAGCAGAGTAATATTTTGTGAAGGAATTCAGGGAAACCAGTTAGCTGGACTTGAGTCCTGGAAATGGGAAGTACAATATTGGAAATTTAGAGGGATGTCTAAATTGTCGTATTTGAGTGCCTCTGCAAAGACAGTGATTATGTATGAGTGATGGTGAAAGTGTTGAATGTTGAATGATGCTGAAAGTTTTTTCTTTCTTTTTTGGTCACCCTGCCTTGGTGGGAAACGGCCGACGTGTTACAAAAAAAAAAAAAATACAGATCATAATGGAAACTGCAGTATTACAGACATCCTTTAAAGAAAAAGTGAAGTCTTCAATTGTAAAATCTACTTACTCTCACTGCTGTCCCTTGATACACTGTTGGGGTCCAGTTCATCAGCATTTAGGAACTTGTTAAGTCTCTTCAAGGAAACACTTGCCTTAAGAAAAGTTACAATACATTAGAATTTAAAATGATCTGTGTGCTTATTTTTAAATCTAAATCTTCAGCAAAATACTGTGATGTAAACACTAATTTAATGTTTTAAAATTAATGATTTTTTAGTACTATAGTATTCAATATTTAAATTTACATTGCACTATATGAATGTTTTCAATCAAATGTAATATATATCATTTACAAATAGATATAAATTAAGGAAACCTATTAGATATCAATCACTTATCATGAAAAACAAAGAACACCCACACACACATAATACTATAATGTATGTGTACTATTTGTCATTTTTTTTTTTAGCAAGAATTTGCCAACTTTACTTATTTACAAAAAAACTGTTTTCCTCAAAAAAAGCAGGCATATATTTATTTTTGATGTAACCTGATAACATGAGGCCTGGTCATGGACTGGGCCTCAGGGGTGCTGACCCCCAAAACCCCCTCCAGGTATAAAAAAATAATCCAAAAATAATAAAATAAATATATTTCACTAATATTAAATAATAGTAACTAAATTTTGAATGATCTCAGGTAAGCTAAGATTAAGTTATTCCATATTATGCAAATTTGTATAAAGGTTATATCAGGTTGCTAAATTAGTTTCAGAGCAAAATTTAAAATTTTCATAAAATGTTAATTCATGTGAATATATTGACCCAATGATTATTATTAAAGTCGAAACTTGTCACTACATCTGTATGGGTCATGCAGTAATCCAGAGAGAAAAATGTCGGAAAATTTACTTTACAAAATTTTGGTTCCTCAAAGTTACTCTGACATTTGCAAGTTTAGCTTGTATGTATGTTTTTTTTATATATGCTTTAAGGTACAGGTTTTGGGTAATTGTTTAATATATAAATAGGTAGTTACACACATAATGTATTATATACTATGTGCACAGTATACATATGCACACATACTATATACTGTATTACAGAGCATACTCATACACATACAGATAAAGCCAAAAGCTAACAAAGAAACATGCATTACAATACTTGCATTCTCTACACAGGCAATTTACAGAAGCTCAACAATAAACGAGGATTAAAGATAAAGCAAATTAACCCTTTCACTGTCACTGTACTGACACCAGAGTCACTGACATAAATTTATATTTTGAGCTCAGCTCCCTCAGATGAGCCATGAGCAGTAAATTTTAGAATAGACATGAGAGAATGACCCTTTTTGAGTGTGTGCACAGTTTAAAAAGAAAGCAAAAAAAAAAAAAAAACATGCCCCAAGCAGTGCAAGATGGGAAATGCAAACCTCTGACCTCATGTTTGGTTTAAAACAGCAACTCGGAGGTGTTTTCAAGGATGGTTTTTTTTTATTAGCCATTTCTTGGTATCATTTTATAGACTGGAAGACATACAAATGAAATAGAGATGATTCTGGTTTGTATTTGGCCCAGCATAGCTTGAAATCAGGCTCAAATCAGCAGAAATATTACATTTTTGATGATTTTTCTCAGGACAGTACAGCTCCCAACACCTCTGGTCTGTTTCATTAAGTTTTTATAATTTATTATCCAAGAAAATGGGGTAAATCTTCGATTTTTGTTTAATGCATTCAAAACAGAGAGCAAGTGTAATATAGTAAAGGCGGGAGGACATGATTAATGAACACAGGAAGTGCCTGAACTGTCTACAGTGTTTATTTTACTTTGTTAGGTTAGTTCTGATAGCTGAATGGGCAATTTTTTTTGTTCTCCACAAAATTTTATATTTTTGGTGTCATTACATTCAGAAAAATGCCAACACTGTCAGCACTTTTATGTTCAGGGCTTCCGACAGTGGAAGGGTTAATTTGCTCAACAGTAGTGTACTTATATTTACTAAATGTTAAAACAACTTACAATTATCATAACCGAGAGCATTGTACATATATTCAAACATCTTTCCTAATACTGAATCAGTACATGCTTAATAAAGTTTTCTATTAAAAATATTTATGCCATTAATAGGAAAAATAAACTGCCAAAATAATAAATGGTAAATTAAGAAAAACTATAGATATCTATGGAGGTAAAAAAGAGAATGTATCAGAATATAATGGTGCTAACTCTTTAATATGGATGTGAAGAATGGGTTTTCAACACTGCATCAATGAAGCAGTGGCGATGTTTGAGAACAATGTGTTTGTGAATATGATGGGGTGTCACCAAGAGTAAAATTCAAAGAGGTGATAAGGGGTTACTGTAGTTTGGGCATATAGAGAAGACGGAGAAGGATAGAATGGTAAAGAGGGTGTATAAATCTGTGGGTGGAAGGTAGGAGGAAGAGAGGTCATCGAAGAAGTGGTTGGAGCGAGAGGGGTAAAAGATGCTACGAGATTTACGGGGTGAGCATGACTGATATGAGTGGATGGAAATAACTGGATTTTAATGGACATACTGTTAGTGAGCAAGGTAGCTTTCATGAAGGAATTAAGGGAACCAGTTAGCTGGATATGAGGTGGGAAGTGAAGTGCTTGCACTCTAAAGATTGGGGATGTTGAAATGCAATCTGAATTGCAATGTCATCACATTTCTGGCAAGATACTGATTATATGAATAATGGTGAATGTGTTTTCTTCTTTGGGTCTCCATGCCTTGGCAAAAGATGGCTGTTGTGGTGACAAAACATTACAATAGTGATTGAAAAAAATGATGCCAAGTTAGTGATGGGGGAACAAGTTGAGTCAGATGGACACACACACAGGCAGACAGATAAACAGACAGACAGACAGAAAGATAGACAGACAGACATACAGACACATGTTTGTGTGCAACAGCGAAAACAAAGTGAGGGTTCCCTGCAGCAGTGCACATTTATCAAATGTCACTGGCTGTCACCGGTTATCTGATGCTTGTCATAACACCATTCTCAAGGAGTTTCATATATATACTCCAGGCACACACAGGCAGAAAGAAAGACAGATAAACAGAGCTAGATAGATAAGCAGAGTGACAGATAGACAGACAGACATGTTTGTGTGCAACAGCAAAAACAAATAAAGTGAGAAAACAAATAAGGCGAGGGTTCCCTACAGCAACACACATTCATCATATGTCACTGGCTGTCACCAGTTATCTCGCTTGTCATAACACCATTCTTCAAGGGGTTTCATATATACTCCAGCATGTCTAAAACATTGCAAAGACCTACAAATACTTTACATATATTTCTAGACAATAGTAAATGACCCAGGCAGGTGAAAATGTTCACCTTTTTTTTTTTTTTTTTTTATCACACCGGCCGATTCCCACCAAGGCAGGGTGGCCCGAAAAAGAAAAACTTTCACCATCATTCACTCCATCACTGTCTTGCCAGAAGGGTGCTTTACACTACAGTTTTTAAACTGCAACATTAACACCCCTCCTTCAGAGTGCAGGCACTGTACTTCCCATCTCCAGGACTCAAGTCCGGCCTGCCGGTTTCCCTGAATCCCTTCATAAATGTTACTTTGCTCACACTCCAACAGCACGTCAAGTATTAAAACCATTTGTCTCCATTCACTCCTATCAAACACGCTCACGCATGCCTGCTGGAAGTCCAAGCCCTCGCACACAAAACCTCCTTTACCCCCTCCCTCCAACCCTTCCTAGGCCGACCCCTACCCCGCCTTCCTTCCACTATAGACTGATACACTCTTGAAGTCATTCTGTTTCGCTCCATTCTCTCTACATGTCCGAACCACCTCAACAACCCTTCCTCAGCCCTCTGGACAACAGTTTTGGTAATCCGCACCTCCTCCTAACTTCCAACTACGAATTCTCTGCATTATATTCACACCACACATTGCCCTCAGACATGACATCTCCACTGCCTCCAGCCTTCTCCTCGCTGCAACATTCATCACCCACGCTTCACACCCATATAAGAGCGTTGGTAAAACTATACTCTCATACATTCCCCTCTTTGCCTCCAAGGACAAAGTTCTTTGTCTCCACAGACTCCTAAGTGCACCACTCACTCTTTTTCCCTCATCAATTCTATGATTTCACCTCATCTTTCATAGACCCATCCGCTGACACGTCCACTCCCAAATATCTGAATACGTTCACCTCCTCCATACTCTCTCCCTCCAATCTGATATTCAATCTTTCATCACCTAATCTTTTTGTTATCCTCATAACCTTACTCTTTCCTGTATTCACCTTTAATTTTCTTCTTTTGCACACCCTACCAAATTCTTCCACCAATCTCTGCAACTTCTCTTCAGAATCTCCCAAGAGCACAGTGTCATCAGCAAAGAGCAGCTGTGACAACTCCCACTTTGTGTGTGATTCTTTATCTTTTATTATTGTTACTATTAAGTACTATTGTTACTATTAAGTACTATTGTTACTATTAAGTACTATTTCAGTACATAATATTAGTGTCAGAACAGAGATTGGCTATGAAATCACAAGAACTCTTATAAATTGTAATTATCAGAACATATAAATTATATGAATTAAAATAAAAGAGAAAAAAGGTAAATCGGAAACACTTATGCAAGCAGCAGGACTGGATGTTGCCATCAGGTGAGCATCCAGAGCCAACTTCCCCGTCTTTTATCTTTTTAAGTACTGGTCCTAAATTTTTTTTTCCTTGGTCTTATAGCACACAGAAAATTGCCCTCTCCAATTTAAAAAAAAAAAAAAAAAATTATTTTTCAAAATATTCGGAGTGCCATGCAGGTGAACATAGATCTACTGTTGGACAGTTTAACCCTTTGACTGTTTCAGGGCCCTTTCTGAAACTGTCATTCTATGTCGCTCAATTTTTGAAAAAAAAAAATTATTTTTTCTTATGAAATGATAGAGAATCTTTTCCCGATGGTAATGACACCAAAAGTTCGAAATTTGGTTGAAAACTCATGGAATTATGCTCCCGCGAAGTTAGCAGTCTCGGCGACATATGCGTATCGGCGATTTCGCCGACTTTGAGCCCTATTTTCAGCCAATTCCATTGTTCCAGTTGACCAAACTCATAGCTATTTCTTTAGAACTCCA